TTTCTCTTTCTGTTTTCATCTTCCACCTTCTACCTCCTACTCTGTCTTCTCAAGTTTAGGCTTTTTCCTTCTTGCATACACCCAGAGCAGTGGGCCAGTCTTTCTGCATGTTCACGTTTGTTTAAGGTTCATCTTTTCCATTAGACCTTGAGCTCCACAGGGAGGAAGAGGTTCCATGTAGTCCTCCCTGGCATCTAGGAGGCCCTCACAGACTGTATGCCTGGCTAATTCCATTCCCTCTCCTATTAGACTCTTCTTCATAGGTGGGAATCTTTGGTCTTTAAATGAAGCCTCTCTAAAGGGCAACTTCTATTCCTGCCTGGACGAGATTTCACAGGTCTACACACTTGCCTTCTACTTTTTTCAGAGTCAATACTCACATCTTATCTCTCCTGGTAGTTTGCAAGCTTCTTGATGACAAGAAAGTGTTTGGGAACTTTGAAGTCTGTCTAAGTTTGAATGATGTGTCAGTCACTTGTGTGCAGTTGTGTGACCTTGGGAAAGTTAGTTCACCTCTTTATACCTCAGTTTTCTCTTCTGTCAAGTGAGGATAATATCACCTATCTCATGTAATTTTTGCAAGGATTAAATTTATACACACACACACACACACACACACACACACACACACTCTAGAGGCCTGATGCACGAAGTTTGTGCACGGAGTGGGGCGTCCCTCAGCCCGGCCTGCACCCTCTCGCAATCTGGGACCGCTGGCTCCTAACTGCTCGCCTGCCTGCCTGATCACCCCTAAACACCTCTGCCTGCCAGCCTCATCGCCCTAAACCACCTCTGCCTTGGCCCCGCCACCACAGCTTCATCCAGAAGGACGTCTGGAATGATGTCCAGAAGGTGGTTTGGTTGTTCAGTCTAATTAGCATATTACACTTTTATTATTATAGACTAGTGCACATTGAAAAGAAATTAATTAGAAGGTGGCTGGTGGGGTGGGACTAGGCGAGATAGGCCAGACACACCCTGGAGCCAACCTCCCGCAGTCCCTCCCTGTCCGGCCACACCTGGGGTGGCACCGTGGCTCGAAGGGCATCTGCAGAGTGAGCGGGGTCCCTCCGGCAGGTGGGGGTCCCTCGGCCTGGCCTGCAGGAATCAGGCTGAAACTGGCTCTCTGACATCCCCAAAGGGGTCCCAGATTGTGAGAGGGCAGTTCTCGGGTGACGCACCCGGAATCCGGCTCCCTCCTCTCTGGTTCCAGGTGCATCACCCGAGAACTGCAGCTGCCAAGTCACCACAGCTTGGCAGCTCCTGTGTTGAGTGTCTGCCCCCTGGTGGTCAGTGCGTGTCATAGCTACTGGTTGGAGTGTCTGCCCTCTGGTGGTCATTGCACATCATAGCTACCAGTTGGACAGTCAAACGGTCAGACTGTCACTTAGGCTTTTATATATATAGATAAAGGAATAGTTTATGGATCTTTAGAGAGAGAGGGAGAGAAATATCGACTTGAGAGCGCAACATCAATGGGCTTCCTCCTGCATACCCCCTGCCCCCTTGAGACCAAGCTCACAACTTTGGCATGTGCTCTGACTGGGAATCAAACCAGCAACCTTTTTTTTTTCTTTTTTTAAAATATATTTCTTTATTGGTTTCAGAGAGGAAGGGAGAAGGAGAGAGAGATAGAAACATGAATGATGAGAGAGAATCATTGATCGGCTGCCTCCTGCACACCCCCACTGGGGATTGAGCCCGCAACCCAGGCATGTGCCCTTGGCCGGAATCGAACCCGGGACCCTTCAGTCCGCAGACCGACGCTCTATCCACTGAGCCAAGCCGGCTAGGGCAAACCAGCAACCTTTTGACAGGACGACATCCAACCAGCTGAGCCATATCAGCCAGGGCAAATTATATATTTTTGTATCCTTATAAGTTCATGGCCCAGATGTCAGTTACAGTCATCCTAAGGGCTTCCTGGATTTGAAAGACCCACATCAAAGGCCTCAGTTCTCCCTTGGGACCTTTCCATGGAGCTACTCTAATTTTCTCATGACATGGCAGCTAGGTTTCTCTGGCATGCACAATTCGAGAGCTCAAGGCAGAAGCCACAGTGCCTTTTATGACCTAGCCTCAGAAGTCAAACACCATCCCTCCTTCCATACTTTTTTTTTTAAATCCTCACTGGAAGATATGTTTTTGTTATTGATTTTATAGAGAGAAGAAGGGGGATAGAGAGAGAAACATTGATGTGGGAGAGAAACATTGGTTGCCTCCTGTACCCACCCGACTGAAGATTAAGCCTGCAACCTATATATGTGCCCTGACTGGGAATGGAACCCAAAACCCTTTGCTGTACCGGACAATGCTCCAACGAACTGAGCCACCCAGCCAGGACCCTTCTGCCATATTCTTATTGGTCACACAGACCAGCTCTGATTAAAGTGGGAGGATACTGCCCTATGGCATGAATCCCAGGAGTGAAGGATCACTGAGGGTGATTCTGGAGGCTGGCTGTCACATTTATATTGTTTTCCTCCAAGAGAATTAGCATTAGTATGAGGCTTTAGCAACTGCAGATATTGGGATGCATGTTGGCTAGAGAACTTAAAGGAAGAAATCAACCAAAGGAAATAATTCTACAGCCTCATCTCTTTTCCTCTTCTCTCCTTGTACTCTCAGTTTAAGTCAGACTGAATTTCTTATGGCTCTTCAGAACCCACCTGGCTCTTCTCTCTCATTTTAAGGCCTGTGCACCTATGGTTTTTCTGTTTGAAAGCTCTTCCTCTCCACTTCACTTGGCTACTGCCTCATAATTCAGGACTCAGCTTAAACACCACTTTCTCTGGGAAACTTTCCCCGATTCCCTTAGGCTGTCACTGCTGTGTGTACTTTGTCTCCTGAAAAGGACCTTATCCAGTGTTTGAAATTCAGGCACCCACAAGTGAGGAGAACATCTGATGAAAAGAGATGAAGGTGGAAGAAATTAGCATGGATGTTCTCTAATAGAAGTTCCAAAATTACCTTTTGTGATAATGGGATTTTTTTCATTCACGCTGTATAATGCAGAAGCCACTAGCCAATGAAGCTAGTGTGACTGAAGAACTGAATTCTATTGAAAAACTCAGGAACTGTATTGTCCCACACAGCTATTAAAAGAACAGACCTGCCTGGATAGACAGGGTAGTGGAGAGAAATGGAGGCTAAGCTTTGCTACATGGAGAGTAGGCCCCTTCAGACCTGAGGCAATCATGATAAACTAAATCCAGTCTAGGCAAGCGCTTGCCAAGTAGTATTACAACCTCCTGCAAGGCTATTTGTAATTGAACTGAATGCTCTGAACAATGAAAGGGTCTAAAGACACAGGGATTGGTTGTCTGCTGGCAATATCAAGAGAGTTTTTGTGCATGTGTTGTTTAATTTTTGTGGGTCACTTTTTTGTGGGGCATGGGTGTAGGGAAGCTTTTGTCACATTTGCCACCCTGCTTCAGGGTCAGAACCACTATCTTTTAAGAGGGTCAACAGTTGTAATGGCTGTCTCCAAATTTGCACCTTTAAGACAAGTCAAGAAATAACCTTCTTTCCTCCCTCCCTTCTCTCTCTTTCCTTTCATGGCTTTGTGCTAGGCTTTGAGAAGTGTTGACCCCAAGAAAGAAGTTACTTACCAAAAGGGGCTCCTGTGGCAAACTGGGCTCAAATTTAAAAGCACAGCCTAGCAACTGTGTCTAAACTGGGGCCTCTCACATGAACAGCCTTTCAGGGAAAATCATCAGTATGAGGCTGAGCCAACCTTTATAAAAGTGCCTGGAATTGTATTTCAAAAAATAGGACCAAAACTTTTTTTGTCAGATCAGAGCTGTGCAGCTATATCCCCCTTAGCATCTTCACCCCACCAGCCTGCAGAACAGCTCCATTCTGACCCACCATGATAGTGCTTTCTAGATCAATCAGAGGGTGAGGTTTTGGGATCCTCATTTGCATAAGGATGAGCCAATCAAGGACCAGGGCTGCTGGCTCCCCTCTGACCCCAGGAGCCACTTTACCTCCCCCCCCCCATCCCCCTGGAAGACTGCTTTTCCTACTGGATCAGAGCTGTCCAGTCAGAGAGGTGCCCTGCAGCCCTGCTGCTCCACTGGATAAAGTTTCCTTCTTCACTGCACTCCAAATTGCTGATTCCTATTGGCATTGAAGAAAAGGGGGAATCATTCAGTATCTTTTTTTGTGAGAAGCTTACAGACAAGAGTAGATAATAAAAATGTCCACACACTGACTGGGAGCCAAATGTTCTGGGTTCGGTGCTGTTTTACAGACCAGTTAGCTACACCTCAGCTATGCGTTTGCGAAATGTCAGGGCTGGAGAGGACTTCTGAGGTCTCTGCCCTAACTTCCTGGGCGCTCATGTATCGTAATAAAAATTATGATGAAAATTGCAGCTAGTTAACTGAGAGCTTACAAGTTCTAGACACTGTGCTAAATGCTTCATACCATTTCACTCAAGCCTCATGGCTATTTTACAAACTTCCATTTTCAGATGAGGAGCCTGCGCCTTTGCTCCCAGAGTTTTAAGTAAGCAGCCCAGGTCACACGGGGAGTAAATACTAGAGTTGGCTTTGATGCCAGCTGGTTCCGATCCCTACGTTTTTTACTTTGCTGTTGAGGTTGCTTCTCTTCAAGGGTGGGTCGGTCAGGAGCGTTAGCTTCAGGCAGGGAGAGTGCTGGTGATGATTCTATTACCGAGTGCAGTTCTGCCGCGACCTCAGGCCGCGACTCTCCCAGCAGCTGTGGGCGGCCCGTGCCGTGTCCTCCCCACTCCCGGGAGAGCGCGGCTCCGCGAGGATCCCAGCTGCTCGCAGCCACACGCCAGCAAAGGCAGGGCCCAGGGCAGGGGTCCGAGCCACCCACCACGGAGAGGCCAGCGCCCAGCGGCCCACCTCTGCCTCGTGACTTCCGGTTCCGGGTCGGCTCGCGCGTGCGCGGAGACGGCCAGGAACGTGCGCCGGGACGTGGGGAGCGTGCGCCGGGACGTCGGGAGCGTGCGCGGGGGCGGCGGGGAGCGTGCGCGCGGTGACGTGCCGGCGCCATGTTGGAGGGCTGGCGGTAGCGGCTCGGGAGGTGCTCATTCTCTCGGTCTCGCTCTCTCGCTCGCTTCCCCGGCTCCCTTCGGTCCCCCCACCCCCTGGTCGCCTGCGTGCGGGAGTGTGTGCGAGGCAGGGGGAGGGCGTCGGGGGGTGGGGGTAGGCCTTCCGGTCCCCGGAGACCCGCGGAGGGAGGCGGAGGCTGCGAGGGACTCCGGAAAGCCATGGACGTCGAGAGGCTGCAGGAGGCGCTGAAAGGTGGGGGTAGCTGCCGCTCTCCCTTCCTCCTCACGCTCCGCCGCCCTCTCTCCTCTCCTTCGGGGCGGGTGGCTCCTCGGGCCGGGCCGGGCTCGGGGGGCAGGTGCGCTTCCCGGCTCCCCTCCCCCTCCCGCCTCCCCGGGGCCGGGAGCCCTGGGCAGCTCCCTCCCGCCGGAGCTGGGCTTTGTGTCCGCCGCCGGCGTCCCGCTGGGGGAGGGGAGCCGGGAGCTCGCGCCGGGGCCCTGATCCGGCCCCGCTGCTCCGAGCACTGGCTCAGTTCTCGCCAGGCCCCGCACGCCCGGCGTCGAGTTAGAGAAAAAAGCAAAGGTTTGGGGGTACGGGGAGCAACTTTAAATTGTGTCTCAGGAAATTCAGAGCTTCTGGAGTCACCATTCCATCCTAATCCTAAGGTGGTCGGTCGGCTTCCGAGCAACAGGTTTGAGAACAGTGGTTTTCTAACAGCAGTGTGATAGCAGCCTTTGGAGAGTTGTACTCTGGTCCCCGGAATCATTTGGGGACAGCTGCGCGAGATGGCTGGGGTTTCCTCAAATGCAGATGTTTGAACGGCAGTTGGGTAAACAATGCCTTGGGTCCTTGGACATTAATTTCAATCGGATTTTCAGATGGAGCTCCTGCTGTTGTTCCCCGGAACACACTTTGAGAAACATTGAGTTAAGGATGGTTTGTGAAGTGAGTGCCTTCTTTAGGCAGATGTTACATGGAAGTACAGCTAGGAGAGTTGAAGTGGCTATTTGGTTGAGAGGCTAATTTTTTTCCTTTGTTCTTAATATGAGGCTATTTTTTTCCCTTGTTCTTAATATGAGGAAGGACTGGAAAGAAACTTTGTTTTTAGAGGGCATTGGAAATGGTTGGTGGGCTGATGAGGAATACTGATAACTGTTCTCTCTTCCCTTACCTAGATTTTGAGAAGAGAGGGAAAAAGGAAGTTTGTCCGGTCCTGGATCAGTTTCTTTCTCACGTGGCCAAGACTGGAGAAACAATGTGAGTTGAAAACATATGCCTTGTTATAGACCGATGTATCATTCAGAATTGTTTGGGAAAGGGGGAAAAAGTGTATTTCAGAAGAACTGAATCTGTGTAAAGCCCTAGTCATTTAAAGCAGTTATTTAGTGCATATATACTTTATGCATGATTTGTAATGAATTTAAAAAATTTGTTAAACTTTTTAAAATGTATCTTATGCTTTGGTACATTTGGAAAATGTAGTTGTCTGAAAGAGCCAGAGAAAGGGAGGATGGGTATTCCGTTTATGACCCTTTTTTGGCCATAACAGGCTTATTTCCAGGATTTTGTGGCTTGATTCTATTTCAGATTCTTTTGTTGGTGGTATTTTCTCATATCGTCCTACATCCAAGCTTTTGTTGTCATATTTATGCATGTGGGTATTTAAGGTGTCAGTTCTATATATTCTCTTCAGAAACCAGGGTGATAAATCTGGCAGATTCCAGATGCTATAGTTTTGAGTGTCCTGTAAACTTTCTAGAATAGCTAACTTGTTATATCTGCTCAGCATTTTATTAGGCTTGTTTCCAAATGTTGTAAATCTGAAACTTAGACAATGAAGTTAGTTCTGTTTTCAAAAGGAACATTTCATTGCATTGTTGTGTATTTGGTTAGCAGGAATTGTTTTCACACTCTGTCAAAGTTAATTCCTAGAGAGCAGTGTAGTTTAGGTGACTTTCTTGTAGTTTTGTCTTTGGATAGGGAGTGGGGAGCTGGAGGGAGAAAGGTTTCTTTGGATGCAGGGTTAATAAGTGGAATTTCTCTGGGCTCCCCTACTTCTTGCCTATTTTAAAATTTTCTTTTTGAAGTCTATAAGAATGTAAGCTTCAACAGTGGTGAATATTTTCTTTGGCTTTATTAACAAACTAGAGGCCCAGTGCATGAATTTGTGCACAGGTGGGGTCCGACTGGGTGCCCTGATTGGGGGTGATCAGGGGCGGGGCCAGCGGGGGAGAGGGGACGCAGGAGGTTGGCCAGCCAGCCCTGCCCCCGGTCGAACTCCTGCTCCAGGGGACAATTTGCATATTAGCCTTTTATTGTATAGGAGGATGCTTGTTACAAGATTTGCTTATGGTTGTAGTGTAACCTTAACTAGCCTAATTTTATTTTTTTAAACTATATTTTTATTGATTTCAGAGAGGAAGGGAGAAGGAGAGAGAGAGAGAAACATCAGTGATGGGAGAGAATCACTGCATGCCCCCTTCTGGCAACCGAGCCCACAACCCAGGCATGTGCCCCCAACTGGAATCGAACCCGGGATCCTTCAATCCGCAGGCTGACACTATCCAATAAGCCAAACCAGCTAGGGCAGTGGTCAGCAAACTCATTAGTCAACAGAGCCAAATAACAGTACAGCAATTGAAATTTCTTTTGAGAGCCAAATTTTTTAAACTTAAACTATATAGGTAGGTCTATTGTTATTAACTTAATTAGGGTACTTATAAGCTGGCCTTTGCTAAAAACGTCCTCAATCTGATTGAGGTACGTTTGCTGAGGTCGACCCCTTCCAACTCTCCCATCCACGCTCGTCTTGTATACTTGTTTCATCTATCTCCTTCCATTCACCCTCTCTATACGTCCAAACCATCTCAACATACCTTTCTCAATCCTCGACACTACATTTTCTTTCACTCCACAACATTCCCTAAAATTAACTTAATAAACTTTACTTTTGTCACCCGTGCGCAATTTGCGGACGCGACTAGCACTAACCACTGCACAATGAGACTGCTGACTGACTGGCTCACTCAACTCGTACATGAATCACGCGCACCTCCCCCGTGCCGCGTCTCCCGTCACCCGACTGATCGACACCCCCCCACTTCTAATGCCACTTCTTCAAAATAGACTCGCCCAGGCTGAAAACCGACTTCTGCGCATGGGCCATGAAGTTTCAATCACACTGTATGTGCGTGCCCGCAGGTGGTATTTTGTGGAAGAGCTACACTCAAGGGGCCAAAGAGCCGCATGTGGCTTGCGAGCCACGGTTTGCCGACCACTGAGCTAGGGCATGAACTAGCCTAATTTTAGGAAGAAGAAGAAAAACTCATTGCTTTAGTGGTAACATGCACAAGCTGAACCTCCTTAATGCTTTATTAAAATTACCAGCCAACTTAACACATTGCAGACGGATCATGAGAATTCTCATGTTTTCTGTTCTAAGGCTTGTGGCCAATCACAAGAATTCTTTAAAATGATATTAGCTTGTAAGAACATGTAATAAATTCAAAATGCAATGGGTATTTAATTTTAAAGTGTGCCTTTAACATTTATGTAAAACGTTTTTTGTACTCATTCAGTAGAAACGTATCTGGCCACTGGGTAAAGCTAGCAATAAAACTAGTAGTCCGCAATGTGTTAGGACTGTGATTATGATGTGTTGTTCAGTTTTATATTTATATTTGTTGCATTTAAATAATGGAATCATTTAGGTTTTAGGGGAAAAAAGTCATTATAATCTCTAAAAAATTTCAAAATAACCGACTGGTGGCCATATAGATAAGCTTAAAAATGAGTACATGTCCAGTTTCAAAAATAAATTGATGTCTAAATCATAAATGCTTAGATTGCCACTATTTCTTTCAAGTCGCTGTTTGGTGTATACTTACCCCTTTCTACAAAAAGTATTTTTTACTTTCAGAGTTTTGATACACAAGATTATGTTTAACTATTTGGAGATAAATACTTTAAAACCTCTCCCATTATTCTGCTTATCAGGTCTGTACAAACTGCCTTCCCTTTTTGATAAAATACATTGGTCATAAATATATAAATAATTGAAAGTTTCTAAAATACAGCTTTTTAATATCCTGACTGGATTACCAAGTGGCTAGATGAATTTAACCTGATGTTTCTAGACAATTATTTTGTTCTTATTAGAGGACTTAAACAACGTGTCTCTGCCATCCCTATTAGGTATTTGTACATTTATTTTAAGAGTATTTTGTATTAAAACTAGAGGCCCAGTGCACAAAATTTGTGCATGGGTAGGGTCCCTAGCAGCCGCTGGCCAGGGCCTTCTTTCGTTCTGCGCCGCCCCCTGGTGGTCAGCACACTTCATAGCAAGCGATCGAACTCCCATTCGGTCAAACTCCTGAGGGGACGCTTTGCATATTAGGCTTTAACATATATAGACTAGAGGCCCAGTTCACGAAATCCGTGCACTCGAAGGGGGTGTCCCTCAGCCCGGATTGCGAGAGGGCGCAGGCAAGGCCGAGGGACCCCACCCGTGCACTATTAAGGCCGGGGAGGGACCACAGGTGGGCTCCAGGGCGTGTCCAGCCTGTCTCACTCAGTCCTGATGGGCCGGACCCCAGCAGCAACCTAACCTACCAGTCTACCAGTCAGTGTCTGCCCCCTGGTGGTCAGTGTACATCATAGCAACTGGTTGATAGGTCGGCAGTCTGCCCGCTGGTGGTCAGTGCATATCATAGTGGGCAGTTGAGCGGCCTTAGCATATCATTAACATATTACGCTTCGATTGGTTGAATGGCTGACCAGACACTTAGTATATTAGGCTTTTATTATATAGGGTAGGATGATTGGTAGTGGTAGGTTGTCTATTATGGAAACATTTTTTTAAATTTATCATTTAAGCAACTGATGTTTATACATTTAGCTTTATTATACATTTAGCCTTTGTTGTTATTTTTTAAATCAACATGGGTATGCCTTAACTTTTAATACTGAAATTTGCAGTTTCTGTCATTTATGGCTAAACTGAGCTTTGTCTAACTTTTAAGGTTATAACATAAAATGAAAATGTAAAGAACAGGAAGTCAGGTCTCATGTTTTAGGATGGATGAGTTGCTTAAGATAAGAATTCTATAGTTCTGTTTTTCTTCTCAATAAGATGCATCATTAACAAAAGAAATATTATAAACTTTGTTTATAGAATGAAAATCAGTCGGCAAACTGCGGCCTCTTGAGAGTGGCTCTTCCACAAAATACCACGTGTGGGCGCGCACGTACAGTGCGATTGAAATTTCGTGGCCACACTCAAGGGGCCAAAGAGCCACATGTGGCTCGCGAGCCGCAGTTTGCCAACCACTGGCCTAGGCTATTCTTTTTTTTTTTTTTTTTTTTTTAGTTGATTTGACCTTTGTGTTTTTAGCTTTAGAGAGATCTTAGTATTATAAGTACAGGTTCTTACTGAGGAGGAGGTTGGTGGAAAATTAAAAAGCTTTGGAACAATTTTCCTTCCTAGTCTATTAAAAACTACCTGTGAACATCTGTTGTAGGAAGTTGGGGAAGATGCCAAAACATGGGGTACCAAACTGTTATGAAGAGGGAGATATCTTCTTATCTGTCTATCCGTAACAACCCCCGGGTTGTTGTTGGCAATTTCAAAAATACTACTTTTATGTTGAAAGGTTACTTTCTTCTGAAAATGGAGCGACACTTTTCCAAAGGTTACAGATTCTAACTTAATAAGTGCTGAATAAACAGAAACGTGCTGGTTTTAATAATTATATAAATAATTTGATGGCTTTTAGTTGCAGTTATTCTTCTTGATAATCAAATTGTCTCTTTGGCCAGTGGGAACCACTTCTAATTGATTTTAGAGTCTTTTGACTTGAGCGTAATAGTCTTTGATAGAATCGTTATCTGTGGTATGAGAATATGTTCTAAGTTTATTTCCAGCCCCAGACCTGGAATCAGCCATTTCTTGAAGAAGCCCTGTCTTCTTTTAGTGGAAAATAGAGCTTAAAGACTACAATCTCGGTGCTAGAGATGCTTATTATGTTGAGTTGGTCATTCTAGCCCAGTGATGGCGAACCTATGACACGCGTGTCAGAGGTAACACGTGAACTCATTTTTTTGGGTTGATTTTTCTTTGTTAAATGGCATTTAAATATATAAAATAAGTATCAAAAATATAAATCTTTGTTTTACTATGGTTGCAAATATCAAAAAATTTCTATATGTGACACGGCACCAGAGTTAAGTTAGGGTTTTTTAAAATGCTGACAGGCCGA